CCCCAAAACCCCAAAACCCCAAAACCCCAAAACCCCTTGTCCCAAATAAATATTAATTCACAAAAATATTCCTAAAATGTGGAAATTCCTTGTTGTTCTCACAATTGGTATCTTCTTGCTCTTCACCATAATAAAATTGCTGCTTGATTCTCAAGCTCTGGAAGGAGGTAATTTTTGACGATAAATTAGACTAAATTTCATTTAAAAATGATCTTTGATTTCTCCAAATCCATTTTTGCTTTGAACAAGCAACCATAACTAGGGATATAGATCTCATACTATATGACAAGGTGGCCATAAACTTAATGGTGATCACTAGCTTACTTGACCTTTCATTAGGAGTAAATATAATGATGATTGCCATCGCTCAGTGCACTAGAGATAAAACTATCAGGGACTCTACAATCGAGTTCTCTATAGCAAATATGATTCTCTTGTGTGTCTTCCAGCTTCTCTGAGTAATATATTATACTGTATATGCCCAAGCTATGAAACCAAATATATCTACTCTATTAGGCATCATCTGCACAATCTCTGCATGAATCCTGATTTTGGGAATTGTCATATTATGAATACATTACTGAACGCACAAGAAGCTGTCTGACTCTGACAATTTCGCTAAGAAGACCCGTGATGGTCCAAAAGGAAGAAGGAGTTTAGAGAAGCAGTTTGAAAATATAATTCGGTCTTTGCCAACAATAATTTATCAGGAATATCATGATCTTAAGACCCAACAGTGAAATATTTGCGAAGAAATATTCTCTCATGGTGAGTCTCTCAAGGTATATCCTAAATGATATCATATCTTTCATCATGAGTGAATCAAAGAGTGGTACAAGAAGAGACAAAGCTGACCTATCGATGGCAATAAGATAACCGAGGCTGATGTAGACAGGATGGACAACATCGAGAATAAAATTACTAAAGGGAAGAAATAAATTAGATATTTGCGAAATATTTCAATATGAAGTATGGCATTGGGGTTTTGGGGTTTTGGGGTTTTGGGGTTTTGGGG